GTCCCACCAAACGTGCTTGCCCTTTCAGTTGTGGGACATTATATTGTGATGGTCAGTCCCACTATTCATTGGTAAAAGAGTAGCCCAAGAGTTGGCAGTAGGTGGTGATGACTAGCTTCCTTTCCTCTAGTCTTTCACTGGTAAATTAGGTATGACTAGCACAGATAGCTCTTCTGTAGCTTTGTGCAAAATTCAGACCAAGCCTATTCACACACTACGAGATATTATGATGCAGTAATAGTCAATTAAAACAACGAGGAAAACTTAGAAGGTTCTAGTAACATGACACAATAATATAACAATCACCAATTCATAACTAGTGAACTACACAACTTATGATTCATAAACAATTACATAAACAAACCTGCAAAAAACTATGGCTTCTAAATTTAACACTTGCATTAGATAAACTATCTAAATCATAACACTTGCCTTAGACTTAAATTTAAACAGTCATGTATACATAACACAGTGGTTGCAGCATTTAAATGCTGAACACACAAAATGCAACTTAAGTGAATGTCTAGTTTTTTCTATTACACGTATAGGCAAACCTGATTCATTCATAGCATTCTTAATGATATTATTAACACTAGGATTATTGAAATGTATTTGAAATGTTATATTTTCTTCCTGATTTCTGTTAGTTTTCCTTTGTTTGTCAGGAATGGTGAACATTTTGTTAACCAATCTTTCAGGATAACCATTTGATGTTAAAATATCCTGGAGATTACTTTTGTCTCTAAAATGCCACTAGGATTGTTACAAATAAGTGAAAATCTTGTTAATTGGCTAAAAATCATAATTTTCTTCATAGCCTATGAGTGACAAGTAAATGTAGAAGTAGAGGCTTTTTTGAGGGTTTCTTTTATACATTACTAACCATGTTACCATCCAATACAGAAGGGTCTAGAAATTGTAAGCACTCACCAGATAGAACATATTCAAAAATGAACTTGATATTATCATGATTCTGGTTTATGAAATGAGGAAAGTGGATTAAGCTGTTCAAACCATATGATGTGTTTGTAGGAAAAAATGATGTCAGCAAGCAAATGCAGAGCTCATCTGTGAGAATTAACATTGAAAATACTTAGTCAGTGGCATATCCCAAACCCTCCTTCAGAAAACGTTTTTGAAGGTGTCTTGACAAGCACTAAAGAACTGACAGAAGATGTATCAGTTGTTTCAAAATTTCAGACTCATTTAAGATTAAAGAATCCTATTGATGAGCCATTCATTGCTGCACAACAGTGGTTGAAAACTGAACTTTTTTCATGTTTCATGTTTTTTCGAGTTTGGTTCCCTTTATGATGCTAAAGTAATTCAAAATATATTATACAAATAAATAGTAAAATTGTGTAAGGATTTAGTTGTAGCACTATCTGACATTGATGGAGCTAATCACATTTTGAAGAAATCGGTGTTAGCTGTTAAATGTCAAAGCTAGCTGCAGTTATTTCAGAACACAGGTGTTTTATTTACAAAAATGATTTATCAGCAGTATATCTCAATGTCTGTATTGCTCTCAGGGTGCTACTTACAGCTCCATTAAGTTTAGCATCTGGTGAGAGGAGTTTTTCAAAGTTGAAATGAAGTGAAATTCATATGTGATTATCCATGTCTCAAGGGGTTATCCTCATGCTCTCTTTCAAAAGGGATGTAAAAGGTTTGAATTTCTATAAAATTGTCAAAGAATTTGTAACAAGAGCAATTAAAAATAACTTTATACACTTTCATAGTTTTAAAAAACATGTGAATACAAGAAATTATAATGTCTAACTAGGTAAGACAAATTTCCCTTTTTTGCACCAAATTTATGCATTGAGAAAGACCTACAGTTGAATACCTTCCAGGAATCAAATAATTCTGTCAAAATGGTTTTAATGTCACATGGCACAAAAAATTAATTGACTTCAGTATTTGTACTGCTACTACAAGCTCCCACTGCAGTACATAACAGACTAATAAATGTTTATAGGTAAGTTGATAATTTTGTATTTCCATGTGTCGCATGTCATGTGACATGTATATGTAAGACATGGATAAGGCTGTTGTCACACAAGGTTGTGCACAGTGATTTATAATCAAGTAAATATTGACTCAAAAGTTTGTCCAACTCTTAGAAATATTTGCAGTGAGAGTTAGAATAGAGTGAAATGTTTGTGTATACAAACAAAATACTTATTACATCCATTAGTACAAAATAAAATATATTTTGAGAACACTTTAAATTGTAAGTGTGTTTAATCATTCTTTCCTTAATTCATATATAATTAAACTGTAATGAATTATTATTTAATTTTTTCTTATTTTATGCAGGTCTGAATTTTGTTGCATTTTTTCCTTACTGCTGCTTAACTATCGCTTTTCCCCCACTTCTGCTTGCATAACTTATTCTAACCCAGTACCAGCTTTTATAGTACCCAAGCAAGTACACTGAACCGCAAAAGAAATGTCGCAGTAATTAGAGGAAAAAATGATACAAGAATGAATGCCATATTTTTATTGAATGAACGTATACAAACCAAAGTTATTGCACAAATTTGCATCATTACAATTCATTCACTGTTTATTGATAAAGTTTTTCACCACAATATCACCAGATCAATAAATACAGGTCACCAGTCAGTAGAGTGTGTGTCCTCCATTAGCGTTGATTACGGCCCGGCATCTCCTGTACGGTCTGATTCATTCCAGGTTGATGAAGCACTCTTAGTCCAGACTTAAACCCCATAGAACATCTGTGGGACGAAATTCAAAGAAAACTGAATAACGTCCGTCCAAGACCAACAACTGCTTTGGAACTCCAGCCATCTTTTCTGCAGGTATGGGCTAGCATTCCTATGAGTGCCTTGGCCCTTCCTACAGCAGAACAACATAATGATTAGGCCTCGTAACTCTTGCAGTATGAGCACGTGCAAAAT